AGAAGCAAGACCTCAAAGAGTTATTATTTGTTCGGACTCTGTTGCAGCTCTTAATAGTTTGAATTCAACTGAAACAATAAGAGAGGATTTATATAAAGAGATATCCATGATAATGTTAAATATAGAGAGAATTGGAATTAATCTTCAGTTTTGTTGGGTTCCAGCTCATACTGGCGTGGAGGGCAATGAGATAGCAGATTTGACTGCAAAGAATGCACTGAAATTAAAGGACGAGGAAATAATGAAAGTCCCATTTGGTAAAGGTGAGGCCAAATCATTAATTAAAACAAAAGTGAGAGAATCATGGCAGAAAAAGTGGGACATAGATTAAAAAAAAAGGGTGACATTGTTATAATATTCAGAAATCAATTAATATCAAGGCTTTTAAAGGGAAATGCAGAAGAGAAGAAGTGATTATATCAAGATTAAGACTTGGACATACCGGTTTAAAATCAACCCTGTTTTTAATGGGAAAATGTATCAGGTAATTGTGATGATTGTAATGTTCCAGAAAATGTGGAAATTTTATGAGGTGTAAAAAATATAATTCAGAAAGGAGAATCTTGCAAGATAAGATATATGAGTTGGAACAAGAATGGAGTTTGAAGGGGATTTTGGGGGCAGATGAGAAAATGTGGGAATGTAGTAAGGCTCTTTAATTTTCTTAAAGATACAGGGTTAGAGCACAGTATATAGGTGTGGGAATTTTTTTTTTTTTTTTTTCTTCTCAATTATAACTATATAAAGTATATGAACCCATGAAGCTGCACACCCTATCAGCGGTTAATGAAGTGGAAAAATGGGCTAACAAATTGAGTTTTTGACTATCAGTGACTAAAACTCAACTTGTCTGTTTTGAGAAGAGGAATCATATCCCTGAAATAAAAGTGAAGTTATATGGACAAGTACTTGAACAAGTTAAAGATATAAGATATCTAGGAATATGGATGGATTCCAGGTTGTCCTTTAAGATACATATTCAGAAGTTATATATATAGAAGTTAGACGGATAAAACGTTGTGGCAGATGCCCTGTCTCAGGTCTAAGGAATAGTGTCTACTTGGTTAGGCTGGTTCTATCAAACATGCATATATGTTTGTTTTTAAGGATGAGGGTGTTATGTCCCGTATTGCTCTGGGAGGGATGTTTTCTCCTTTTTCTCTTTCTTTGCCTCACTCACCTCACACACCTCACTCCTTCTTCGACACTTAGTGATGGGACCAGTGCAGCATGTCACGTGACTTACATCTTACTACACGCAGGGTAAAGTTGTCTAAACACACTAATTTACGAGCGGATGCCAACCTCTGTATTTATGTTAGTTAGTCAGTGTAGTTAGTGGCGTTCTACTCGGAAGATGTTATTTTCTTTAATTTCTTTTGTTTAGCTTTGATTGGTGCTAGTTAGCGTGTTTATGTTTTATTATTTTCTTTTCTTTAACACCGCTCTTGTCCCTCACTTTTGTTGTCTTTAATTTATTACGTTTGTATATAATTTGTAAATAGATATTTGTTGGGTTTTTCGAAGGTATTTTGGGTTTGTTTGTAGGGATGTAACAATTCACTCAATTCATGATTCAATTCGATTCACAATTATTTTTTTTTACAGAATGAGATTTAAGACAAATTATAAATTAAATGTGTCCTTTTATTATTGCTTGGACAAAATACTGTACGTTTCTTTGTGAAATTGAAATATAACACTATAATAATATACTAATATAGCACTTGTAAATTATTGCTCTTTTGTTGGTTTTGATTGCTTCTATTGTCCTCATTTGTAAGTCGCTTTGGACAAAAGCGTCTGCTAAATGACAA